TACGATAACCTTTCTTACTGCTCTTTTGTAAAGCAGAAAGATATAGTTTGGTGAAATATACATAAAAGCAATCGTTTAATATACTTCATTTCATTTTCTGTCAACAAAAACCGCCCTGCAAAAGAGTAGGCTATAGTTTTAGTACCGCAGTTATCGTAAAATGGCTTTATTATGGGACCTTGTAGATGTAGAAAGTAATGAGTTGCATCTAGTATAGGCTAGAGATAATCAGATGATGCCATTTACTATTTGTGTGATGCTTAAGGAACATACTATGTCTGATAAGATCTCTTATATCTTTGCAAGGAGGAAGCACTTATGACGTCATGATCTAAACATATATTACGTCATTCATCAAACATGAGGTAAGGTTTTCTTTTCATGTACTTTTTTTTAAAGTTTGCAGATTCATTTTTGCAGATCTGATATTGATAAATCTTTTTTTACATCATTGACATTATTCAGTCTCGTAGTGACAAGCTTTCTACATCCAAATATAGGACTAGGTGTGACGGAAGGTGGCGATGGCATTAGGCCTAAACTCGTTACAGTAAAATTTCGTGTGAATCTTCCAATATGATATTGTTTTTAATGTTTGCAGGCGTACTTTAGTAATAATTCATGCTTCATGCTGATTTCTACTTATCCAGAACAACACAATATAGCCTAGACCTAATCAATGAATAAATATGATACACATAGCAGGGGCGGATCCAGCAACTTTTGAAAGGGGGGGTTCCAGGGTGGTGATCCCCCCCCCCCTTGCAAGCACACTCTCAAACATAGATTCACACACACGGAAAATTCTTAGGTCGTGGTAAATAATATTTTTGTTTTACGGTGAAAAAGTAAAAGGTTTACTGTGGCCTTATGCATATTGCCTATATTGACTTATTTAGTTCCTTCAAAAGCTAGATAATCCAAAAATGGTATGTATATAGTCAAAGATCGTCGGAATCAGATATCAAATTAAACCTTGCCTGTTATCATATATTGAAATTATAGTAGAGTATTTTATTCCATTCACTCATAAATAAAAAAGGTGAAATGTATGAATAGTGAAGGTAAACAGAAGGTAAATGGGGGAAAGGAAAATTTGTGAGACTCTATTTAATAGCAAGTGGAATATGACCAACCGTTCGAATTGTTTTGAACAACATATTTAAAACGTGAGTTAGACGAACAAATATCTATTTCAGCAAACGTTTTATCCCCTCTCCCTCTCTCTCTTTCCACTTGGCAAAAAATAAAGGGGGGGTTCCAACCCCCGGAACCCCCCCTCTGGATCCGCCAATGCATAGCCTATATCAATCTTGCAAATTATAAATATTAAAGCATTGAACAAAACACTATTGCTTGACAATAGTACTGCAACTTTCATAAGAATTGGAAATGTAAATTTTTAAATAGACTTCTAACATGCAAGATTTCAACTTATTTGAGTCAAAATGGGAGAATATCTATAGTTTTCAATGGAAAGAATAACTTGATGTCCTCTCTATGCAGCTGAAAAAACTACACTTTTATTTTTTACATGATCTTTATATGTTACGATATGTATTTAGTGGACCTGGAGAGAAAAATAAATTGCACGTCCACCAAAAAAAATTGCATTTCAAAGTAAATAATTTCATGTCAACATAATATTGCATGTCGACATAAACAATTTGCACGTCTTCGACATAACAATTAAAGTTTACTAGATTGCATGATAAGCGATATCAAATATTTTCTTTAAAAAATTCTTATCCGATAATATGTAAATTTCTACTACATGTTTACATTTTACCACAAGCGCATGGTTCGGACAATTTATGACCTGATATTAATTAATATTGCATGTAGTTAGGGGTAATGACATATGAAGATAATGATCAGTAATCAAGCTCAAAAGTTCATTGAAACAATACAAATTTCGAGCAGAGCAAACACGGACCTCTAAAACATCAGAGGTGGGATCAGGTGACATGGAGGAGTAAGTATCCCCTGTCGACCGGTCACACCCGCCGTGTGCTCCTTGTCATGATCGGGCAAACGGAAAATCCGTAGACAATTCAATGTGAAAATAATGGCCTAACAGTATTTATGAAAAACGTTAGTCATCATTCGACTCATTGATAGATTGTATTTGCTGACAATGTCATTTTATCGACCATAGAATTTGCGAAATGTTGACTTTAAACGATACTGTTCTTGTTTCATCAACTTATTTGTCAGTAGCTACCTTGTTTTAAAAATTGTTCGTACATGTACGTAAAGCATGCTCTTGCGTATCGAATCAACTCGGAGACATAAACTCCATATCCAGCTGATAATGGTATATTGCTACATAAGGGAAGATTACGATGGAAAAGTTGAAAATTAACGTCTTTTTCTAGTAAAATAGCCATATATGAAACATTTGACAATGGTTTTAGAGGGATAAAAATTTTCAATTTTACCCTCAACTTCATGCAATATTTAATGTTTTATAAAAATAATTATAACAGTGAACCGCGCGCGCATAAATTGTGCGCAGTCAACATTTTTTGAATATTACCCGTCGTCAAGCAAGAGGGTATGGTTTCATCATTTAGATGGTAATATTGTTTAAAAATATCGCCTATCATGCGAGATTCTACTTTATGTGGTGACATACTTCTGTCCCTTTTTTTACCCTATATGCAACTTCTTGCAAGATGTTTATTTACTATGTTGCCACACATCTTTTGCATGTTCACATGATCTTTAAAAAATAATTTGCATATAGTGGGCAGAGATATTCCACCATAATTGGCATAAAATACAAAGTCAATGCGATTTCTTTATCTTTTTATGTATGCCGGTGTCAAAATGTCTCCATTTCCAGCGGCGCAGCTAGGCAAAAATGATGTGGATGCTTTTATGATTGCTGGGGGTCTGGGACCGCATAAGTCCCCCACTTACACATAGCGGGTCCAGAGAGGGAAGCCCTGCGGCAACGCACTTTGAAAAAAAATTGCGCACTTTGAAAAAAAATTTCAAAGTGCGTTAAAACTGGGACAAAATCAACGCACTTCGGAAAAAAAAAAATTCAAAGTGCGTTAAGAATGTACATCAATTTTTTTTTTAATATGAAGACACTTAACGCACCGTGAAAAAATATGTATAAAATAAAAATTCTTGACTTAAATTTTAATAACAGACAGCATTATTTCATTTTATTTCTTTCGAAAAACTGATGAATTGATCTATCCTCAACGATAACAAGGAAAAGACAAGTAGAAGGTCCCTTTCAAATGTTAACTCTTTATCTTTCCTACCCAAATATAATATGTATCTACATAACTGGTATGACATTGATATACTTTCTCTCATAAATTTGAGTTAACGTAAAATAGATGAAAAAATTGAGATAAGCTTTCCTGATGGAAAATATATATATAATGTATCATACATTTTTCAATACCTCTTAAAACTAATTAAATAACTGTAAAAAGGACATTATATTGTGCGGGAATAAACTTAAAATTATACTTCTAAATACTTATCAAAAAACTAAAAAGACTATCGTCTTGTACGGAAAATTATTTTAAATGAGCATACAATCTTGGAACACATTTTGTCGCATTTCTCGTACCCCTAACGGTTATATTTGGAAGACAAAAAATTCTAAATACAGGAAAAAGTATTAGGAAGTCCTAAGTACATTGTAATTTAATTCTTTTAAAATTGAAAGTCCATTTTTTAAAAAATGTTCATTGTCATAAAAATCAATTAATGACCTTTTTGCTAAACTGTCTTCAGATGTCCACCTGTCGCAATATGTGATACATGTAATCTCTCTGTAAACATTTTCATGGTATGGAAAAATCATAATTGCTCCCTTTTCCCTTAGAAAAATGCGATGCATTAAGTCACTTATATGGACCCCAGCATCTACCGAACTTATTACAGACTGGATAAAATAAAAGAGACAAAATTGGGCTATTAAACAAATCACTCCTCCATTATTTCTAAAAGACACATTTTCCTTTTATAACATTTACGAGAAACTTTGGGAATAAGACAACCCCGAAAAATCTTTAAAACGTCTATATCTCAGATCCTGGAGTGACGTCCTCAATGAAAAGTTATCCAAGCTTTTTTTTTTCCCCAAAGTGCGTTAATATGGTCGATATTAAAGCACTTTGAGAAATATATTTTTTTTCAAAGTGTGTCAACTTGGTCCAAAATTTAACGCACTTTGAAAAAAAAAAATTCAAAGTGCGTAATTTTTCAAAGTGCGGTTGTAAACAAAGCCCCTTGGAGCGCCACAGAATTTGACAAGACTTAGTATTAGATTTAGTCTTAGATTGTGCAGTGTAAGGATAATACATGCAAAACACTTTATTTCAAATATTGAATCAAATGTTTTGAAATAAGTTCATTCATCAAAGAAATTTTTTTTTAATTGAAAAAATAATGTCATTATGTGGATGCTTACATGGTAGCTACACCACTGAGTTTTGCTATTACTTGCACTAAAAGAGACAACTCGGGCAGATGCGACCATGCCATTCATTCATTGATTAGTGAAACAGATCGTAGCAGTTCGTTTAGCGGAAACTACACATATACACATACACCCGGTATTGTTTTCAGTTGCAAGAAAACAATGGCACAGGGCGGAAGGAAGATTGTCATCGGAGTGGATGAGAGCACTTTTTCGGAGCAAGCATTTAACTGTAAGTACAGTTTGTATCTTATTTTGTCTTTATGTACCATCATGTCCAGTCTCCAAGTCTACGGACTGACGCAGTCGAAGTCAAATGCACAGTCCCCATGACTAGCAATAACAGGCAATTTTTAAAATAATTTTGAAACCACACTTGTTTTACATCTAAAGAAAGGTAAATTTACAAGGATTTCAATGGTTTAAAAGTTATTCAGATTGGTCAATGTACAATAAAGATACAGGTATTTGAAATTCAGTAGCGTTTCATGTTTTCTGCCAATTTTTCGGTTACATAAAAAATGAATAATAACACTTGTAAAACAGTAAATCTATATTTATTTTTAACAATTTTAAGTAATGACAAAAATTAACAGCTGTTTTTATTAGGAGAAACAAATGCAAAGTCTATTAAACTATAATTTTCAAGTCCCCTGATTCCAGATCATTCTTCAGTTTATAAGTATAAATTGCAGGATCCTCGGAATACTTAATGTTGTACCAATCAGGGAAACCAGGCACCTTAAAAGATAATACATGAATACTTTTAATGGAAATACACTTTAGCAAAGAATATTATCTAGATGTTAATTACATAATCATGATTTTAAATTATTATATATTTAAATATATTGTTATCATAATGCTGTATTAATATTGCAATAATATTGTTAGAATATTTTATTATTGAAACAATCTGATAATTATTATTCTTTAAGTGTTTTTCTCTATCTTTCTATAGCTCATATTAATTCAAATATGACTCTAGTTTTTAAGCAATACTACAAAAGTATCAGCATTCACTGTTTCTAATTTCGAGCAATTCAATTTTAAAAGTAATGTTAATCTAGCTGTATGATATATTTATCTGATAAAAAAAATTCCTGAAAAAGAAATTCCATGTGAAAAATATCAAGTCCATATATCAATCCACTCAACACTAATCTGATAGAAACAATGGGATGAGCCTTCAACACTTTTTGATTTTTCTAATAAAAAATCAGCTATTTCTGTTATGGAATTTCCATTATCTTCATACAGTTTTAGAATGTCAGCATTCATGTATTTTACAAATTCCATCTTAATAAACTAATAATTTTTTTAAATGGTAATGATTGTTTGAGTTTTTGCATTTGTCATACATGTACTACTGGAAGGCCCTGCTATTTCCTCTTCTCTGACCAGATTATTTTCAGTGTAAATGTCGAGTGAAAACACACGCATAGTTCCTGATACAAAAGTTTGGGTACTTTTACTTTTTTTGGATTTCAGACCGTTTGGCTAAATAAAAAATATATTGAACACTTAAGTTCCCTTCATTAAAATCAAATGATTAATTTGAGTATATCTATCAATATGAAAATTACCTACCAATGTGATACACTTTTGTATTTTTAGTGTGGGTTGATAAATATGCGTTTGGTCATTTTTTTTTTATTCACCCATTAATATTGCAATAATATTGTTAGAATATTTTATTATTGAAACAATCTGATAATTATTATTCTTTAAGTGTTTTTCTCTATCTTTCTATAGCTCATATTAATTCAAATATGACTCTAGTTTTTGAAGCAATACTACAAAAGTATCAGCATTCACTGTTTCTAATTTCGAGCAATTCAATTTTAAAAGTAATGTTAATCTAGCTGTATGATATATTTATCTGATAAAAAAAATTCCTGAAAAAGAAATTCCATGTGAAAAATATCAAGTCCATATATCAATCCACTCAACACTGATCTGATAGAAACAATGGGATGAGCCTTCAACACTTTTTGATTTTTCTAATAAAAAATTAGCTATTTCTGTTATGGAATTTCCATTATCTTCATACAGTTTTAGAATGTCAGCATTCATGTATTTTACAAATTCCATCTTAATAAACTAATAATTTCTTTAAATGGTAATGATTGTTTGAGTTTTTGCATTTGTCATACATGTACTACTGGAAGGCCCTGCTATTTCCTCTTCTCTGACCAGATTATTTTCAGTGTAAATGTCGAGTGAAAACACAAGCATAGTTCCTGATACAAAAGTTTGCGTACTTTTACTTTATCTGGATTTCAGACCGTTTGGCTAAATAAAAAATATATTGAACACTTAAGTTCCCTTCATTAAAATAAAATGATTAATTTGAGTATATCTATCAATATGAAAATTACCTACCAATGTGATACACTTTTCTCCTTTTAAGAATGCTTGGACTTGGGGGCCTACTTAAATCACTGTCTGGATCACTCAGTTCTGGTTCTGGGGTCTGGTAGTAAGAGTAAGAAATGCATTTGATGAATTATCATATCATTTAATATTTTTCATTTTAGGATAATTGCTAAAAACACACAACAGACATGCTTTGTAGGTTTCCAATTAACATAATTATTATTTAACGTTACCTTTTCCTTTTTATACTTTTTGGAGTTGGTGGTATGATGTCACCTGGATCAGTGGAATCACTTGACATTCTGTTATTAAGGTTGTTTAAAAAATTAATAAAGAAATAAACATATCTATTATAATTATCCATACCAATTACTGTAAATGTTATCCGAAAGTTTCAGTGATAGTCCATAGATCTGATCCATTAAAATGATGTATTTTATTTACTTTATTATCTTTAAGCATTGTGAGAATATGAGTAAGAATATGAATATGAGTAACAGTTGAAAATTGACACTGATTAACAAAAACACACCTTAGAAATACTCCGTCTTCTCTGACATTACGCGGGAATGTAGTTATCTGCCCCTGTTCAAAATGTCAAGCGGACCTGGTTTAAGTGCATTGTGTACTTGTGTGCAACGTTTTATTGTAAGAAACTATATACCAAATGAAAGAAAACTGATTTCTGTGTTTGTTTATCGCTGTCAAAGTATTGTCAAAACGGCAAAATAACGAAAGAAACGAAATTAAACACGATTTGTCATCTACTTTCGCTTTGAATTTCCATATATGGACATTGATCTACGTACCCACGATGTTTCTAGAACTCTCTATCTCTCAGCCTTCGTTAAGCATTCAAGTGACTGCCTAATAACACGTGCTTATGCACATAAAATGCCTATTTGTAACACCAGGGTTTTCTCACATCATGGCCGCCTTTACGTCTGTTGTTATCTATAGCCTATTCTCTATGTTGCTGGCTCGTTAATACTCCCCCTTTAGGGGAGTATTAAACGAGCCAGCAACTTCTCAATAAAGAATAGGGAAAGTGTCATAACTCGCGCATGCCTGACATTGCTACCATGACGAATGCTAGAGGATTGACAACTATGTGCATCTTGAAAGGCTATGTGAAGAAAAGAAATCACCCTGAATAACTTCTCGGTTGACTACCCAAGAGACAATTAATTTTTTAATTTCCTTAAATATTTAGATGAAATCAACGATTTCCGATTTTTCACAGGGCAAGTGTAAAGTAAGATGTCTTAACCCTGCAAAACCGCCCTACTAATTGATCTTTTATGTCCTAGGATCATTCAACCGGTTTAGTGAATGTTCCAGAAAAAAAAGTAAGAAAAGTGTTGTACTGACTTTATTTACTTACTCAAGTGCCAAATCTTCACTATAAAAAGTATTTACGTACATTGTACGAAGACTTAGCTGTTAGAAGTGACGACATGTGCAAGTAGATGCAGGTGGAAATCTACTGAAACCTACTTGCCAGGAAGACAAATAAATAAATTTCAACATATTTACTTTAATTGTCACTCAATATTGTTGTTATACATGTATTTTTCAGTTTATGTGGAGAATTTCCTCCGAGAAGATGATACCCTCTTTCTTGTGCATACACCAGAGCGGTACAATTTCGTGGATGCAAGTAAGTGCTCGTTTCTATGATTATAATACTCATATTTACCATTTCCCAAAATGCTTTTAATCCCGTAGGTAACTTAAAACTTTCTGTTGTCGATATGTTCCCTTGTCTTTATACATGCAAATTACTAAAGAATCCAGCTTTATTATCCAAAATGGAAACATGTAATCAATGGTAATTGATTAAACTAATCGTGTAATTCGCCAAAGGATTTTCATTCAGTAGTTACTGCGCTTTAGAGTAACCCGGCCTTCATATGACTTGTATGTTTGAATTTCCTTTTGTCGGAATTTGAATTGTACTTGTTTTGTAAAATTTTAGGTATCATTGGTTGAAAATGTAATTGCTTTCTTCCATGTTTTGTTAATTTCATATTGAATACCATTATGGACTATTAATTTTTTTCCCACCAATCCACCAACATAGACATTTTGCAGCCTTTTGCTTTAAATATAGTACTTCATATTCGATAATTTTTTGTGGATTTCTACCAAGGTCGTACCATCTTTTTTTTTTTATTGACAGACGAACTGTATTTGCATACTTAAATTTCTGGAGAGAGTATATTGTATTCCTGATTCAAATTTTAAAAAAGTCAAACCAATGTGTTTGGATGTTAAAAAATAAGACAAGTAAAAAATTCAACATAAACGTTAGTAAAAAATTCAATATAAATGTTTAAGTAGGATGGAAATTACATCTATAACAGTATATTACATATTAAATTATATTATATATGTATCTGTTTAATGAGAAGTTTAAATTAATTTAATTTCATTTCAGATCTTTACTTTAACAATTATAACAACTTTGACAATTATAACAACTTTGGCAATTATAACAACTTTGACAGAGTAAAGGTTCATTTTATACTAACACATGTCCACTCTAGAAGACATGTAATGTATGTTTGTGATTTGCCAAACACTTTAACTTTCTGAGCTAGAAATTGCTTAGTAGTATATCTGAATATTATTGTAAATAAAACTCCAATTTTAATGTGGACTTATAGCTTTGCAACACTACCACATAAACGCTTGCATGGCTAGGAAAAAATAGATTTTGTTATGTAATCATTATATAACATGCTAAAGGGATTGCATTATGTCACACAACATTCACAACTTCTGAAGCTACAGTAAGATGAATTAGAAAGAGAAAGTAATGAACCTTATTGTCCAGCGATTATGTTTTGTTGTCTAATCGTTTTGTCTAATATGGAAAAAACCACATTAATTAATTGAAGCATATTTGCTTTGAGGCATATTTTTTATTTATCAAATAAATTTTAATAAAATTACAAATATTTTAAAGTAGTTATATTGCGAAATTTACTAGATAAAAACAAAATCTGCCAGAAATGACAATTACAGTACATGTAAGGTTGCCTGGTCATAACAAGTCTTTACCTTTCTCTCACTCATTGACTACATATACTTTGTTAACCCTGGGTAGAACATATTTTGTAAATTCATGCATTATATAAAATATTTATTTATTTTATTTACTTATCATGTATATTTAATTCGGCACACATTAGATTAAAGCAACTTTAGGAATGCGAAATACTATAGGTTTGTGTCAAAATAATTCTTTGAATTTATTGCGGTTAAATTAAAAGACAAGGGTATGTATCTGCTTATGGTCTTACATTGTTCAAGGTAAAAAAACCCCAAAAATTTGTGGAACTGTTTATTCAGGTATATCTTAATCAGCTATATATAATGGAGTTATTGTGAAATAAGAAAGAATCTAGTCACTTTAAACTCAAAAGATGTTAAATCTCCACCCGTCCTGGCCAGTTGTTGATGAATCCAATGTAACAGCTCAATAGATAGTGCATGAAAAGAGAACCTATTTTTTTCCCCCAATTTTATCCTAAAAGCTCTTTTGTACGGCAAATTTCATTTCATCTACAATGAACAGCGTATAGTTTAACTTCCTAAAAATGTTTAATTAAACGTTTTTAAAAACGGACAACACGTAGAATATCAACGATCCTTGACGATAACAATTAAATTTGTGTGCACGTGGCATCAAAACATGTCATCATCACTTATTTCTCGGAAATTGGCTTCAATCAAAAACAGAAGTGTTAAAGGATAAAAATGAAATGTCCCAAGCTTTTAGAGATTTTGAGCTTTATATAATTTGCCTCCATTGTGATTTAGTAAGCGTGCAGTACCACGGTGAGTGATTTGCCTGTATACGCCATGTTGTTTGTGTTAATTACAGATCTTGGTATTCCTGTAGAGCGTAAGTTCTTTAAATCAGTAAAAACCTGCACATATTTTTTGTTATTACATATCTACATAGTTTTTTTTTTAAAAATTATTTGGAGAATAACTTTTCTAAGACCCAAAGAAAACACCTTTAAAAATAAATTTACGAAATACAGCAAAACTGAGAAGGTTTATTAACAATGGATAAAATATTAAGTTTTATACACAACGTGACAAAATTTAAAAGGTTTAGATTTATAAGGATATATTAAAGTATAAACACTAAACACAAAACAAAGTGACAGTACAAAAACTCTGTACATAAAAATTGACATTTACCAAGCTAGAAACATGACAACAAGAACAAGCAGAAATTTGGTTGAAAAGGTGTAAGCTTATAGAATTCGAGAAAGAATTATATGATAAACTAATAACTGTAATGTAACGTACGAATAGACAATCAATTAGGAAAACCTCAGTGGAAAACATTGAAGACTGAATTGGTCTTCTAGAGGACAGGCTTTAATGCTAAACGATTCCTGCAAATTGAAGGCTTCGGTGCGAACTGTCAGCATAAAAAAAGGCTCTGTGACTCAATTAAAAAAAAAAGAATGATTTCAAGTTAACTTTGTCTACGAAGCCATATAAAACGATGAATGCATGTGTGTAGCATGTCTTTTTGCATGAATATCTACCGTATATATATAAATATGAATGTACTGTGACATGTAATTATTGTATTTGTGTTAGCTTTTGATGTCATTTTAATTTGCAATATGCCTGGACATAGATGTTGAATTCATTTCCTTATATGCTTACACTTATTAAACCATTCTCTTAATTTGGATCTACTTTGGTCAACAAAGGAAACAAGCTCAAACATCCCAGACATCGCTTGTTTTACAAGCCTTAGAGGTCTTACCAGTTTAGAATCTTTTTAAATAATGTTTCAGTTATTGCCAACAATTCTGATAGATGTACCAAGTCATGTCCCCAGTCTTTAGGAATACTTGTCTTTTCTATTACGGACCTGTAGTAATGATTCACAATATTGTATCACAGATATCTCCAAGAGACCACATTTTTGACGAAGGAAAGGAACGCACATGGGAACAAAGTTAGATATTGTCACATGTATTAATTTTTTTAAAAAATAATTTTTTAGATAATCTTTTAAATAATTTAGGTGACAACTTACCAAGAAGTGTTGAACAAAGTTCAAATTTTATGTTCAAACGTAATGGTGCCAGCTGTTACCTTCGGTCCCCCTTTTGATAAACATGGTCCCCATTAGACAGAATTATTGTTTATTTGTCCCTTTTCCCCTGTATTTTTGAGGTTTTTTATCACTGTATTTAAGGCCCTGCTGTCTTGCACGAACTGTTGGATGAGATTAACAAAAAAGTGAGAGCTCTGGAAAACAAGTACCAAGAGAAAATAAAGGCGGCCGGCATCGTAAGTAAAGATATTTCTCCCAAGATATTTTAGGATAGGTTTTTACATCTGATTATATTTTCTTACAACTGAATAGCTTTATAAAGAAGGAACAAATCTACCACCACTGAAATCCGTGGCTGTCTTGGGTTTGATTATTCTGAAGGCTATTTACAGGGAGAAACGTTAAAACAATGAGACAAGGCTGTTGCTATTTTTCCATCTGTACCAGGCATTTTGATATTTTTTTTAATTCATGCTGTTATCATGTGCGTCAATAACTCAATATTTTTAGATACACTATTCTGGATCTAAAGAGGCACGGTATAAATTTCGTTCTATTGAAGATACAACCAGATGTTATCAAAATTGAAAATATTTTTATTTTTCCCAAAATTGAAATATAAAAGCGAGACTAAAACTCTTTCCATAATATTTCATCATCTTATGGAGACATAAACATAATTCTTCAAAAGTAGAATAACCAATAAAAAAGGTACCTGGGAATTTAATTTTTATGCAACAGAAGAAGAATGATATTTGAGCATTTATGAGATTTTCCCACCTCATCTCTGCAATAATGTTTATACAAAGGTTGTCACTGTTTGAAACCCACAGAAATCGTCAAAGTTTGTGACCAAACAGGGCGGACCTGGAGAGGCGATCGTTGCTGTGGCTGACAAGGAGAAGGCCAATATGATAGTGACTGGTTGTCGAGGCATGGGTAAAATAAGGCGGACATTACTAGGGAGCGTGAGTGATTACGTCATCCACCATTCCCACTGTCCTGTTCTCGTTTGCCGGAGGTAAACAACAATAAAAATCAGACCAACAATCATACTCACTTCCGTTATTACCTATTACATGTATATGGTTTTATTAATATAATTTTTACTTTCCTGTGTACTTTCCACTGTTATGTTATTGTAGATTACAAATGTGTATTCAGTTGAAATTCACATATCTATAAATATATAGATAAAAGAAGTCTCTTATGATAATATCAGTGTCACAATAGCATGGAAATTGAATCTTTTCTACTTATAGAAGACACTATTATTCTTGAATATTATATGAGGTTCCTCCTTACTATTTTGCCAATATCACAAAATAATCACAACTTTTTTATCTTATTAGATTTTTTTGATTGTTATAGCTATTCATATATATTCCTGTGTTCTGAAATTTTAAGATGAAATAAAATCTTTAACCATGATATTTTCTTTTATCTAATTTTGTTGAATACTTTTGATAAAAAAAAAAAAGCCCCACAAGTTTTATAAAGAAGGTGTTTTTCCTGACATGACAAATTTTGTGAGTTTGATATACACCCCTACTGCTCTCGGTAATCTGTAAAACCTATTGTTGCTTGTTCTGTTAAGATGACAATTTATTTTGTTGAATTCTTTGTCAAATGTTTTAATTAAACATACTCTCTGTCTTGCTAAAATCACTAAACAATATAACATGATGAAAGGTGGGAAAACGAAATTTTGACAAAAGCTTGCAATGCGTCATTTTGTCTAAATTAATATAACTTTACTTTGTAATAAAAATATAAGAATAATGGCAATTATGTCTTGTAAAACACTTATCATGGATGTGATGTTTTTAATTCCACTTATTTTATGCACGTTGAAAATTTAGCATTGCATGTTATTTATTAATTTTATTATTGTTATTGTTATTATTATTATTATTATTATTATTATTATTATAAGAATAATGGCAATTATGTCTTGTAAAACACTTATCATGGATGTGATGTTTTTAATTCCTCTTATTTTATGCACGTTGAAAATTTAGTATTGCATGTAATTTATTTATTTATTTTATTATTGATATTATTATTATTATTATTATTATGCTTTCGGTGGCTTTTTTTTTTAAATTTTAACATTTATGTGTGTTGTAAGGCTTGGTCTTCTATCACTTTCTGTGTGTTGTCTATAGCACAGTATCTGGCAAGGACAAAAGTAAAAGTAACAAAAATGATATATAACTGTGAAAATTAGTAATAAATTAGAGTAAAGGAGAAACATAAACTGGAATAATAAATGAATTGAATAATTGAGTTGTTTGTCTGTTAGTTGTAATTGTTTTTAAGACCCTCACCGTGAGCTATTGGAGGAAGTCAGACATAAAGTGGAGGCTCTGGAAGCAAATACAACAAGAAAATAGAGAAAATGGGGATTGTAAGTAGACACTTCTATTTTCCGTCTTATATTTTTCTACAGCATGTATAAAGTTTGATATGCAGATCAACCCTTGTCATACTGAACTCTGGTTGCTAGAGATTATAAAAAAGTTTAGTTTAAAATAATTTCGATTATACTGTATTGTAAAATATCCTTATTATTCTGCCTGGTGCAGGCAGATAGCTAACCATCGACTTTGTACAACACATGAGAAGTCAAAGTCACACGAAATAAATTTATTCTTCATGTTGTGTGGGTCATGAGTGTACACAGTATGAGTGCGCGAGTTTGTTTGTGGTAAAAAGCTACAAAAAATATAAACAAATGCTTACAAATAAAGTACAAAAAAAAAATAGTTCAAACAGATATAGTATTTAAACACAAGTTAAAAAAAAGTATTACAAAATTTAGTGACCAAAATGACATGCCATACTTTAGAGAATGTTTTTACCTAAGAAAAACTTTTTATCTAAATAGAAACTTTATAAAATACGTTCAAATAAAGTGAAAATATAGCTCAAAAATAATATAAAAAGACTTACATAGTGGTTTTAGGCACTCAAAATATCTGATGCATTAGGATTTCTAATTAAGAAATAGCCACACCAGGGCTGGTCAAGCAGGTCAACAGGAAGTGAGTAACATTGGAGTTAACTCATACCAAAAATAGATACATAATCATAGTAGTTAAGTTGTACCAGATTTACCATGTAAGTTTCAACAACAATAATAATAAAAGACAACACACTCCCCGTCTGATATGAATATATCACCTAACAAATAAACATGGTGCATATGAAAGTGAGACAAAAAAGTCTAAATTAGAGTCTAGTTAAATCGTCACAAAAGTGTACATTTTCATAAATTACTCTGAATGGCACAGAAACACAATTTCTGAGATTGGGCGAACGTAAGTCCGCGATTGCCCATCTTTCATAATGCGAACTTCAAGTTTGCGCACCAGTCCATCGTCACTAGGAAAAACGCGTTCTACCAGTCCAGTCGGCCAGTGGTTGCGCTGTGCTTCATTGTCCTTCAAGAGAATAATGTCTCCAATACGAACGTTCTTTACAGTATGTTTCCATTTTCTGCGCACTTGAAGACTCTGCAGGTACTCACTCTTCCATCGGCGCCAAAATGTCTCGGCTAGGCACTGAACGAATTTCCACTGGGAAGTATAAATTTCACGAACAGATAGATGTTTGAAATCCTCTGTAGAATCTGTGGTTTTTTGCGTAAGCAAAACAGCTGGAGACAAAATGCAAGGTGTTTCTGGGTCTGTGGATACTGGTACCAACGGACGTGCGTTTACTATTGCTGTCTTTTCAGCCATAAATGTGCATAGGACTTCATGAGTAAGTTTGGTGTACTTAGCATTTAGTAGAATGGAATCAATGATCCGTCTGATAACACCAATTAAGCGCTCCCAAGCGCCTCCCATATGAGAGGAGAAAGGTGTGTTGAACTTCCAAACTGCTCCTTGTTGTTTTAGGAAGGATTTCATTGAGAGGTCTTCCACGAAAATAGCATCAATTCCAAGTTCTCTAGATCCACCAATGAAATTGGTTCCTCTGTCTGAATAGAATTCCTTCACTTGCCTCTGATTGATGTGAAAGGAAGATGTGCTCATTTCTTCGATCACTTCAATATGGACACCACGACATGATAAACATGTAAACAACACAGCCCATCGTTTGGAATTCACAGAACCACCACGTGTACGTCGGGTGACAACATTCCAGGGTCCGAAGTAGTCGACGCCAACATAAGTAAATGGTGGGCAAGAAACCAGTCGTTCCTCAGGTAAGTCTGCCATCTTTTGATAAACAAAGTTACCACGAAGTCTACGACATTTTACACAACCAGATAAAATGGAATATATCAGTCGTTTGCAGCTCGGTATCCAGTATCCTGCAGCTCTGATAGCTCCAGCAGTCAGATGACGTCCTTGATGACGAATTATTTCATGATAATGAAGCACTAGAAGTTTCGCAATATGGTGTTGATTAGGTATAAGGACTGGATTCTTTTCTCCTAGCGATAATTCTGAACTTCGCTTCAGCCTTCCGCCGACACGCAAAACTCCTGACGAATCAAGGAACGGGTCTAGCCTTGACACTTTGCTGTCTCTTGGTATAGGTTTTTCACTCTTTAGGTTCTCAATTTCTCTACTGTAAGGCTCTTGTTGAACCAGTTGAATGATGAATTTTTCTGTTTCTTTGTGTAGTTTTGGTTGTTCTTCAATGGTTTCACAGTTCACTTTTGTTTTACTTCTAATGAAATGTCTCAGAGTTGAAATGGCTTTCACAAGACTCTTCCAGGTAGAAAATTTACAAAAACGACTCGAGTCCAAAATCTCAGTTGAAATTTGAGTTTTGCCTGAAACAACTTCTTGACGAATTTCTCTGTCACTTTCTGGCTCGATGAGGGGATAAACAGTCTTGGTTTCCTCTGGAACATTTCTCAACCATTGGGGTCCCGTTATCCAGTTTTGTAAAGATGTGGTCAATGCTGTATGTGAATATCTTGTCGCTATATCTGCAGGGTTTTTATCTGTTGAGACATAGGACCACTGAGATGGAGATGTAACTTTGTGAATTTTTTCTACACGGTTCGAAACATACACAAAAAATCTGCGGGTGTTATTGCAAATGTATCCTAAGACAATTCTGCTATCACTATAGTAATGAAACCGATCTTGTGGAATGTTCAAATAGTCACATACTGCTTCTCCTACCTCTGTGGCCAGGACGGCGGCACATAATTCCAGTCTTGGTATGGTGTGACCTTTAAGAGGTGCCAGCTTTGATTTTCCCATAAGGAATCCAATAGAAACTTCTCCCACTCTGTCAATGACTCGGAGATATGCAACGGCAGAAACGGCATGTTCTGATGCATCAGAGAACACATGGACATCCAAACAATGTGCCTGAGATATGGAAGTAGATACGATCATTCTCGGAACTCTATAGTCGTTAATAGAGTGTAAAGAATCAAGCCAGTTTTGCCATTTTTTCACGTGTTCCTCTGAGAGTGGTTCATCCCAGTCACATCCAGGAGGTACAAGTTCACGATGCAGAATTTTTCCACTGATGGTTGCTGGAGAAATAAATCCAACTGGATCAAACACACTGTTCAGTGTAGATAAAAGACCTCTTCGGGTACAAGGTTTTTCTGCATTAGAGATTTTGAACACAAACATATCACTGTTCAAGTCCCACAACATTCCTAAACTGTGTTGAACAGGTAAGTTGCACATGTCTGTACTATGATTCAGTTCTTTAAGGTCACTTCCTAAGTCATCTGTAGGGAATGATTTCATCACGTTTACACTGTTTGAGATGATTTTATGAAGACGAATATTTCCGTTTTCTTTTAGTGCTGCTTGTGTTTTCTTCATAAGGGTCACTGCTTCAGCTTCAGTGGGAAGGGAGGTAAGTCCATCGTCAACGTAAAAATTATTGTAAACAAATTTACGAACATCACAATCACCGACAGCTGATGCTTTATGAAGTCCGTAAGTTAACACAGCTGGAGATGGTGTATTTCCAAATACGTGTGCTTTCATACGATATTGTATCAGAGGTTTTTGAAAGTCATTATCTTCATACCAGAAGAACCTGAGATAATCACGGTGTTTTTCATGAACACGGAATGCATAAAACATCTGCTGAATGTCACCACTGATCGCTATTGCATTCTCACGGAAACGCATGAGGATTCCCACAAGGTTGTTTGTTAAGTCTGGTCCAGACATTAACACACTGTTCAATGAAATGTCCTTGTACACAGTAGATGAATCGAAAACTCCTCGGATTTGATCCGGCTTTTTAGAATTGTACACCCCAAAAAGAGGTAAGTACCAGCATTCCCCGGGTATGTCGGATGGGGCAACTTCGGCTGCCCCGCTTGCTAAAACTTTTGACATGAATGCAAAAAAGTGTTCTCTTCTGTGAGGATCTCTCTGCAGACTTGAGTTGAGGATCAAAGCACGTTTCCAGGCCTGTGAATAATTGTTTGGCATCGCTGGTTTAGAATCTTTAAAAGGGAGTGGTGCAGACCAATAGCCTTCAGCATCCTTATGAAACTCTTCATCCATGAGAGTGAGAAATTTGCGGTCATCAACAGAAAGTCCAATCTTGTTGTCAAATGGAGTTTGTAAGAATATGCTGTTATCACTGTCCTTGACACTGATGTTATTCTGACACAATGGGAAGGTGGTACACCGTCCATCATTGAGAATATGCGTTTTGTTTACATTTACTTCCTTTGGGGGATGAACTTTTCCAATACAAACTTCACCAATAATAACCCATCCTAATGATAGAAGTTGGGCAAAAGGCTGACCTATGCTACCAGTTATTTGGTCATGTACATGATGTACATCAGGTAAGTCACGTCCAATAAGGAGTTCAACATTAAATGTACGATCAAAGGGTGGTAAGAACGATGCAATGCGTTGTAGATGCGGATATGAATCAGCGACATCTGAAGTAGGTATTTCAAGATAATCACTTGGAATTGAATCACATTCAATAACTTCAGGTAAGTTAAATGATGTTCCATCTAAGGATTTCACACACAATCCATTCACACGGCGTCCATTGAATGTAGATACACCAGAGCATGAGGTAAGTGTGTAGGACTTACAGTCTCCCGAAACACCAAGTTGTTCGATCAAGTTAGGAGACACTAAAGTACGGTTACTTTGGTCATCGATTGTAGCATATGTACGAATTGTTTTCTCTGGGTTTAAAGTAGAAAACACCTCCACCAGAACTATTTTTCCACATGAACGTCCACCAACAGAATTTCCACACAGCTGAGTACAACACGATTTCACTGTTTCATCATTTTCTGGAGATGGCTCCCCGCCATTGTCCGAAGTAGTTTTGACTGTGGTTACGGCCGTGTGTGACAGAGGTCTTTGAGGACGACGATCAATATGCATTGCTGTGACATGACGAGAATTACCACATATATCACATTTTATGTCTGCCGTACAGTTTTTAGACATATGACTCTGTGAAGCACAACACCGGAAACACAAATTCTTCTCACATAGAATCCTTTGACGTTCTTGTAGTGATTTTCTTTTGAAGCCACGGCATTCATTCAGTGTATGTCCAGCATTGTGTATGGGGCAACGAGTTGGCGGTGTTAGTGACGAAATTTCAGCTTTACGAGAGGTGACATTGCCAGTAGATCTAGGCTTGCTGTACGCTACCTGTGGGTTTGTGGACTGTTGACAAATAAGTCCTGGGTCATTACGCATATCACATATTTCACGGATGAAATTGACAAAGTATGAAAATGGGGGAAATGGTACACAGTTCCGTTTCTTATATCCAGCAGCTTGAGTAGTCCACTTATCTTGTAGAGATGTTGGTAGCTTGCTTACTATCGGTAGAACTCCAGTGGAAGAGTTGAAGTAGCTGAGAAGAAGGTTATACTGTGGATTTGCCATAGCAGATTCAATTTCTGTAAGAATGTCCACTAGATCATATAATTTGGCATGATCTCTATTTGTGAGGTTTGGAAACAAGTGTACTTTCCTTTTAAGAGTTTGTTCAACCATCTCTGGTCTTCCATATCTGTCATGCAGTCTATCCCATATGCGTTTCAATCCCAGACGTGGATCGTGGGTATTTGCTGAGCGTAGTGTACGTGCAAACTTTGACGATTCTGGGCCCAGCCATTTCACGAGTAAATCCATTTCCTCAAATGGTGTGACTCCAAGTTCTGATACAATGCTGCGGAATGAAGAAGTCCAAGAATTGAAACTTTCTGGGCGATCATCAAAGTTTGTGAATCTTGTGAGGAGAAAATCCTTGCGCAACAGAAACTTAGAAAAGTCGGTTATTGCTGAAGTATTAGACACCACTTGAGGAGCAGGATTAGGAGGTATAAACAATGGCGGCGCTGGATTTGAAGGAATAAACATTTGTGGCACAGAATTTGGAGGCACATACATAGCTGAAGTTTGAGAGACAGGAAGTTGATAGACACTCGCAGGATTATACACACTGATGGGTGGGTTGTGTATTGTGTTTGATGGGTTTTGTTCAAAGCTTGGTTGATTTTGTTGAACGTTGTCAATACCAGTATTTGCAGAATGATGGTTCATTATATAAGCACTGGTCAATTGTTCTTTTGTAGAAACTGGAAGATCTATTTTATGTTCTTCTGATAAATCTGCTTCCGCTGAGAGAATTTCTTTTTCTTGTCGAACAATGCTTATTTTTGTTTCAATGTCGGTCTTTTGTTTTAAAAGTTCACCCTCTTTTTTAATAAGTTCTAGTTTGGCCTTTTCAGCTTGTGCTTTAGCTCTCTGAAGACTGCTCGAACTTGACACATGAGATAATGTTTCCAGTAATTCAAATTTTGTTGTTTCAAGTTCATTACTTGTTTTCTTCACTATTGAAATACACTTGTTCACAAACATATCAAATTCTTTCCACATATTGCGAGCATCTTCAGTGTTTTGAGAATCAAGACATTTCTTGTAATCTTCTGAGACAATACAAAATTCTTTAAATTTCACATTGAGTAAGCGTTCTACTTCCCTTATTTTTCTGAAGTCTTTTTCACACGAGCCTGAAGTTACTAAGACATCCTCTACTTCATTCCATGCTCTGTCCACTTTTCCCTTTAGTTTTTTACACTGTTCTTGAAACATGGTTTGGCCTTTCTCTGTTAATGTCCGTACTCGTCTACCAAGAGCGTCAGCCATGTGAAAGTAACGAAACCACTATCTTTTTACTATTCTGCCTGGTGCAGGCAGATAGCTAACCATCGACTTTGTACAACACATGAGAAGTCAAAGTCACACGAAATAAATTTATTCTTCATGTTGTGTGGGTCATGAGTGTACACAGTATGAGTGCGCGAGTTTGTTTGTGGTAAAAAGCTACAAAAAATATAAACAAATGCTTACAAATAAAGTACAAAAAAAAATAGTTCAAACAGATATAGTATTTAAACACAAGTTAAAAAAAGTATTACAAAATTTAGTGACCAAAATGACATGCCATACTTTAGAGAATGTTTTTACCTAAGAAAAACTTTTTATCTAAATAGAAACTTTATAAAATACGTTCAAATAAAGTGAAAATATAGCTCAAAAATAATATAAAAAGACTTACATAGTGGTTTTAGGCACTCAAAATATCTGATGCATTAGGATTTCTAATTAAGAAATAGCCACACCAGGGCTGGTCAAGCAGGTCAACAGGAAGTGAGTAACATTGGAGTTAACTCATACCAAAAATAGATACATAATCATAGTTGTACCAGATTTACCATGTAAGTTTCAACAACAATAATAATAATAGACAACACACTTATTTTTCCTTGTACTTTCCTTATACTTTCTCTTTCCGCTTCAAATTTCATCTCTTCATCAAGGATATAGAGATCTTAATAACTTAAGCTAATAAAGATAATGATTATTGTATAATGAATAAAACATGCACCTCACTGAGAGTCAAAGTTGAACCATAAAAACGGACGTATACTCTTCAATTCAGCGTTATTTCAACTGGGAATTTAGACATAACTTAATAACAAGGTTTTGGAAGAATTGGGGCCTTTTTGTTGCTTCTCTTACAGTTCCACAAAAATGAATGGGAAATAAGTCAGGGAATTAATGTACCCCACATAAGGAAGAAACAGAGGGATTGACCTTGACCTTTTTGCCTTAAAATCAATAGGAGTCTTTTTAAGATAGAAAGATTTTCATCCTTTAAGTTTCTTTGCAAAAGTACAAATTAAGAAAATTAGAGTTATCATCTGAAAATACTTTATATAATTAATATATGATTATTTGTTACCTTGGCCTTTGACATATTGACCTCAAAATCAATAGGGGTCTTCTTTAAATTACACAAAGTAATCAAAGAGAATTAAAGTTATCATGTATCTGGAAACTTTTCCAATTTCATGCAGTATTAAACATTTATTGACTGAGTTCGAGGGCAACATGTGTTTTGTGGGACCAAAGAACCAAACTGTTTGCCTGAGGCCGTTAGGCCGAAGGCAAACAGTTTGGTTCGAGGGTCCGACAAAACGCATTTTGCCCGAGAACACAGTCAATAAATGTTTTGTTATACCTTTTACTTTTTATTTTGACATAACATGATGTAAATTTTGCTGATCCGCACTGCGGTTAAAACTTTGTCAATTCCGTAAAGCTAATCTGTCGAACTCTAACGAATGCAAATAAGATACAGCTGACCCCGCATCATACTGTGACGTAAGCGGTCCAACATCTCATCGACAGGTCCAATATCTCGCTCTGCGGTCAAACGTCGATTTTTTTTATGACCGCTCAGTAAAACATTGGAAAAGTTAGACTTTTTTTAGTATATAATTATATAGGAAACAATTTTCAAAGGTATAACGAATGTATTTAAGACCTTGGCCTTTATACCTAAAAATCAAAAAGGGGTGTTCTTTAAGTCATAAGAAGTTATGATATAAAATTTCATTGAAAAACTTGAGAAGATATCGTCCGGAAATTAAAGTGTTATTTTAAAGTCTGAGTGACAGATTGACTGACAGAATTTCTCTTGCTTTTAGTGATATCAGGGGGACCATTAACTATAAAATAAACAATAATGAGTACATGTTTATGTAATTCTTTTAAACCCAAGAAGTTCTCATTTTTCAAATTTTTTTTTGTAATTATCATATTTGTTATAATAGAATGAAAACTTAATAAATAGAACAATAAATATTAAAGTAAAATTAATACGTATATACAGTAGAGTTCTTCCGTTTTCCCCTTAAAAATCGGCTAAATTCCTCAAGAGACATGGAGATCCAGGGGAGGCCATTGTCCATGTGGCGGAGAAGGAACATGCTAATTTGATCATCACAGGGTGTCGTGGTATGGGCCTGCTCAGACGCACTTTCATGGGAAGTGTCAGTGACTACGTCATGCACCATGCAAGTTGCCCCGTTTTGGTGTGCCGGAAGTGAATTGAAATTGTACATTCCATGTCCACAACGAATGGCCATTTTTTTCCCCGCTCATATTTGAAAATAAACACATTAATATTGATTTGCCTCAACAGCAAACTGACATTGATTGTGTATATTACTTTCCTTCATGTTTAACAACGGTTTTTACTATCTTGTTGTTGTCATTTATAAAAATCTACAAACTTTGGAAGTAAAAACGAATTGACAGATATAAGTATTAATGTTGTGAGCAATTCAAAATAACATTTTATGAAAGCAATAACCTACGAGATTTTCTTGAAAATAATTTCAATGAATGAGAGATTTTTGTATTTCTCAGAGGGAATTCCACTTATACAAGCAAGGTCATTTTTGACCACTTTAAAGCGACAGTTTCTCTGTTGTAATGGATGAAAAAATTGTAAATAATTTATATCATCAATACACACTTTATAGATTATTTTTTGGCTATTCTTTCATCTCCCATTCAGATGTGGAAAAAGTTAAATACAAGAAAAATTGATATATTTGTACAATAAGGGAACCGACTATGGTTTTCATTGCACATTATTTCGCGCAGTTTAGTGAAAAACAGTGTATGTAGTAAATACGCTTACTATTTACAATTATAAAGAAATTATTTTTTTCAAATTTAATAGAATGAAGTCATCAAATATTTAAAAAATGAATTCTTTAAAGAAAATAATTTTGAACGATTTCTTTTAAATTGATAGGCAGGTGGATATCATCGTGTGCATATGATGTTATGATAAACGTCAAGGTCCTAAGGAATGAGTCAATGAAGGTTATACATGACATAAAAATAATCGATTGTATTCTTCACACAAAAAACCAGTTGGTTCCCTTAAATATTCAACTCCTGGCACTAGAAGTGAAAGGCACAGGTCTTTTGAATGAGACCTTAAAATTCGAGATCCCTTGGCACAATAAAATCCATAACTGCTACGACCGTAGCGCCGTGCATAGGTCAAAATTTGTGACTCTTCACCGAAAGCTGACATTTCTATGTGAGTGGAAAATTGTAGAAGAATGGGACATTAAACAACATACAATCAGTCAATCAATCAAACTTAAGGCAGGTACATTTTTCCAGACACTAAACACATTCTAAAGAGGTGTATGAACTTATACTTATGTTGAATTTATTTTCAACACTGAATACACGAATTATTATCTTATTCCTAAACAGTAATTTTTGTATTCAAAAGTTGCAAATTAGTTTAAAGTTAATGGATATTACTGTCATTAGCTGCCGAATACATGGTAAATTATGTTTGAGTGTGGTAAATACTTTATAAGATGCAAGTATTTTACCATCACAGGGGCCGGTAACATACATGTACTGTGCTTGATTTTACATAATCACTATAATACAAAAAGGGGTTGTTTTAAAAATACTTTAAAAAAATACCTTGTGGCCAATGAAATAGCAACTAGAATCATACTACAAAAATTTGTTCTTTAATAAAAATGTAACCTCTTTCATATTTGAAGTGTTTAAGTTGGGATATACTAACTCGATATCCAGAGGTGCGAGTCGATGTACTTTAAGACATCTGCTAAAACCAGGCGAAATTCGCACATTAATTCCAGTTTTGAAGTCTTTCTGAAGCTGGTAAACATAAACTATCTATTCACCCATCACAAAGAGCTCCCTTCTCTTATTATTTCCCATAAATACGTCTCAACTTTCCCATTTATAGAATTACGATGGCCTTTTCCGGTTGTACAATGAGGCCCAAGGCGAGAACAGATATGGCATATCTGAGCTAAAAAAATAATAATACGAGATTGAGTGTAGATATATGTTATTTACGTTCAAATTAAAATTTTCACTGATTTTGAAATTGGATAACATAACGTTTCTATAGTTAAATTGACTTTTAACCGTGTCTGTTATTTAAATGTGGAGTCGGTAAATAAATCGGTTATTGTTTTAAATTTCTAATAACTTTGAAACGTGATCGATTTAAATTGTGTGATTTACATGAAAGTCCTATCTTTCTATAAAGTAATAAAATAAATAAAAAGATCTTTTAAATTTTAGTTGGTCTGAACTTTTCAAAAATACGCCATATATGACTTTTGAAAAAAACTGCGTACAAGTTGGAAAGTGATTGGACAGAAATCTCTGGGAAAAACACATTTTTGATCTCGTCCCGCGTTAAATCTGGGATGTTGTGTTAAGCAAATTCATTTAGTGGACGACTTGAGCAACATCAACTTGCGTGACAGGATATCGACTTTGTCAAACACGATTTGAACGCTTCAGAAATGAGCGTGATTATATTTTTATTAAAGAATAATTATGCTGAATGACTCCAGTCCTCATTGAACTGACTCATAGGTATTTATTGAAAATACAGTGTTTTTCAGTTTGACCTCTTGTAAATTCGGGATGTCCTTGGTTCCCTTTTCTTTTTTGTATGTACTTGTGTAATAATTTCAAAAAATCAAGTAAAGTATGTATCGACCCCATGTTTTCACCATCTTCTGAAGCCAAAGCCTTTCGGCTCCCTACGCTCCTGGGTGAATTAAAAAAAATGACCAAACACATTTATCAACCTGCACTAAAACTACAGGCAATGGGAATAAATTTCTATGTCTCAGCATATGTCTTTAGATAGTGTCTAAATACCTGCCAAATATCTCATTGATATCTCAATTCACAGGAAAGTTATGCCCAGAAATGATGCTAAAAATGTCAGGAGTGCAACACCTTTTTGTGACATTTTGAAAATTCAATAT